TTGTGATTGTGTTTGTGATTGTGGGTTTGTGATTGTGTTTGTGGTTGTGTGTTTGTGGTTGCGCGTTTGTGGTCGTGTGTTTGTGATTGTGTGTTTGTTGTGTGTGTTGTGGATTTTATCTGGCAAACTATCTGGTTGAGGTCCAGCGGTGCACACTGCGATCGGATCCTTGCGGTTGAGGTCCAGGGGTGCACACTGCGATCGGATCCTTGCGGTTGAGGTCCAGGGGTGCACACTGCGATCGGATCCTTGCGGTTGAGGTCCAGGGGTGCACACTGCGATCCGGAGCTGGCCAGACAAGATCGGAGAAGCAGATTGGCGATGAAGATTGGCGAGGAAGGAGGCAAGGAGGAAGGAGGAAGGAGGAGGACGAGGAGGCGGCGGAGGCGGAGGCGGAGGCGGAGGAAGAACAGCTGTGATAAAATCTAACAACCCTCACCTGGCAGGTGGGGAAAAAGTGATTCATGTCCATGTCCCATAGCTCGAACCATTCAAAGAACCGCACTCAAAGCAAGCTTATCACAGTGACAGCGCATCGGTGCTTTATGTCATGTCCTGCCAGGCCAATTGACGGGATGGCGCTCACAATTTCTCCATTCTACAGTGATCCTCATTAAAAAAGTCAGCCAACACGCTCGATAGGCTAGTAAGAATTGAGTTTGTGATGCGAGTGATGCCAAACATTGACTAAGGCATCATTGCACCATTAGCATTATTTCCCTAGCAAGCATGGACGTGGTCAGCTGTAAAGAAAGCAACCTGCAAGCAGGCTTGTTACCGCTGTAAAGACCTCAACTTTTCTGTACCGCTCCGCCGTAGAGTCTACGTGGTCCAAAGAGATGGTGGGCGAGACTAACGCATCAAGACTCACGGACTCAACGAAAAGGGTGGTGGTGCCTTTTTTGATCATTTTGTCACGTCTTTGGGAAGACCAAAGAGGCACCAGTAAAGGAATGCTGAGTACAGTATCTTCTGGGATCTAGCTAGGTCGCCCCAAGCAGCTGTAAGGAAAATGCGTTGAGCGGCTATGTTTGCGGTCTGTTTGACGGGCATGTGTGGTGGTGCCCTTTTTGATCGCTATGTGACAGTTTTGGGAAAGAAAAAAGAGCATGAGCAAAGGAGTGCTGGCTTCTGGGATCTAGCTAGGTCCCCCCAAGCAGCTGTAAAGAAAATCTCTTCTTGTTGTTCCGAATCTCTACGAGGGCTGGCTTTCGTCTCTTCCCTTCTCAGGCTAAGCAGAGCTGGATTTTCCATTTGTCCATGGCTAGTGGGGGATGGACATAAGTAAGAGTATGTTTTTCCTTCCGTATTTCTACACAATTCTTTTTTTACCTGTATTTCGCAATTCTACAGCGTGTGTGCCTCTGCACCTATGCCCTTTGTACTTTAAGACCCTGGAAGCGGTCAAGGAAACTTGGGATCCACTCAACGAATCAGTTCAGTCTCTTTGAGCTGAAGCGAAAACCCACACAACCGATTTTTGGCACTCGTGCTCTTCAACCTGTACATAAAGTCTGTAGGTGGGGTCTGGGTCACTGACCGAACGGACGGACCAAACGAATCGCTGGTTGGCTCTGGCGACGTTGGCGATTTCCGAGGTGTCGTGGCAAGGGGATGATGATGGTGAATTGGGCTGCCTGCTATGCACGTCCCAAGAAGTGAGCGCTGAAGCGGCGTGGCCATCGCTCCGCTTGGGGAGCTCGTGCGAAAACCGGCCCCGGCGGAAAACACCGAACGCTGGAGCTCTGCGCCCGCTGATGACAAACTGGGAAGCGATGGGAGCTGTGGAACTGAGAAAGACGCAGGGACCAGGTTTCATGGAAAGGGACCCAGTAGTGGAGTTGAATCCTTTTCCGCCAGTCAGTTGGTTCCCTTGAGAGTTAGTGAAGAGTTTTCTTCTTGGAGTGCGGGGACCGCCATTTTTTTTGAGCCTGTTCGGCTTCCAATTTCTTTTGAGTGGAGACATGAGCTTTCAGTGGGCCATACTCTGCTTCACTTATGCTTTTGCATTGGACGCCTATCGCACCAAGGTGAGATCAGTGGCGGCCCCCCCGAGCCGCCGAACGTCGCCGGAAGTCGCGGCGAACGTCGTGGGTTCAGGGCTTCTGGACTTTCCAGCTTTAAAACATCGCTGGTATCACAGAGAAACACCGTGAAACAACACACATATGTATATGATATACATACTGTTAGAATCTGTTAGATTTCTGTGTCCTAAAGAAGTGATAGAAGTGATGTAGTGCATCCCTATTTTTTTTTTTGCAGAACAGGCAGAACAAGTGGTTATGCCCGTAGGGTTGTGTCACAGCTATGGCTTAAGACTGGTTCTCCTTTGGCACCATGGGTTGAAGGAGTACGGGATGCATTGGAGATGGTGCAACTAATTCATGGAAGCCTGTTCTTCCTCCAGTGGTTGGTGCATCAAACCCTTGCAGAAGAAGAGCTTTCAATAGCTGAAGCTCTGCGAAGCTTGTCATTGATTTGCATGCCGAAATGGTAGTAAGGTTTTGCAGGCAAGGCCTTCAGATTCGTCTCTGATTCCCTCAGTGGGTCACTTTCCCATACTCGTCGACAGACAGTGAGAACACCGCGTCGACAGACGCTGTTTTCCACACGCCGTAGTTCCTCGCACCTGTGAGCGTGGAACAGGCCCGGTGGGTCCAGGCCCGGCCAGGGATGACGGATTTTGCCAGGTCTGACCAGGTCTGAAGAGCAGCTGCAATTCAGCGATGCCATTTTTTAGGCACGTGTGTTCATAGCTATTATGCTGGACTTGACCAAGCTATTTCCACTACAGCCGTGCAAGCGGGTGAGGCGGCCATTTTTGGATCTGCACGCTCACCCGCCAGCGCTTTCGCAGCTTTTGAAGCAACGAATATGTCAAGCGCCTCACTCGATCCCTCAGCCATCCAAACCTGGGAGCTTACGATCCAACCTAGCAGTCCTACTACATTGATTTCGTACGTTTCCCGAGTTTGGTTTAAACAGGTGAGGACTGCCAGTTTAGGACAAGCTGACAAGCATGTCGAACTCCACGAAAGGACTTGCTGGGAACCAGCCTCTCAGACTCATGACCTGAGAACGGACCTAGAAGCAAAAGCCAAAGCTGAAACATTGAACCATTTGACCCATAGATTGCCTTTATTATATATTTGGTTGGTTGATTAATAGAGGGGATGCCTCTCAGTGTACAACCAATAGGTCAATCGCACCAAACCGACCTCTCTATTCTTCCCGTTCGTAAAGACATCACTGACCATTGCAAAAGCACTTGCTGAACAGTACACGACGAAAGCTACATTCCAATTGCACTGGCGCCTCCTGCGCATCCCTTGCGATTCAAGGAGGTGCGGCAAGGGGCCTTGTTTTGGGTCTGGTGAGTCTCGTGGTTTCTTCACCTTCACCAGACAAATGGATGTGGACATCAGTTTGATTGAGTGAAGAGTCCCAAACAAGGGGTCCCAATAGGCAGTCGAGGATCCTTGCGGATGCCTCCCTAACTCCCTGGGAAGCCCAGCTTCCGACGCATGGCACTTGGGGTATTCGTTGCCTCCGACTTGATGTTGAGAATGGGTGAACCCATGCCGACCGTTTGGACCAAGTGAGCCACATGTTCAGCAGCAAAAACCACCTGGGGACTCCCGAAGTTTGGCATTTCTGCCGTTCCAACTTTGGATTGGTCATTCAAGAGCACTCAACATGATTCATACATCAAAAGTTAAGGCTTCTTCTTCTTTTTCTTCTTCTTCTTGCGATTGCCGAAGGCGGTCGCCTGTGGCCGCACCTGCACCGAATTAACACAAACCATTTTGGAAAGCAGGCCCTCGCCCAGCTTTCGAGCCCCTGTTTCCAAGCAACCAAATCAAACATGGATGTGACACTGCACAGGCCTACATCCTAGGAAAAGTCGAGCATAGGCCAACAGCAAACAACAGGTGGGCTTGTGCACTTACGAGCTGAGCATACGGTCCACTTGCCAAGCGCTCACACCAAGAAGATCTTCTCAGCTGACCCGCCGCAGTCAGGATTGGAAAACAGGTGCAGGATTTCAAGTCACAAACGTGCCACAGAATCCATGTGATGGCACCTCCTACGCCCTGCGCATTTGCGCAGCTCTCCTCGCACGCGCTTCAGGTAGTCTCCGAAGCATTGTAGGGTCATTCGAAAGCCACCATTCAAGGTACTTTCACTGCAACTGCTTGCTTCTTTGCCCTGCGTGTACTTCAGGTAGCCACCGAAGCTTTGTAGGGCCACTTGAAAGCCACCATTCAAGGTACTTTCACTGCAACGTCTCTTTGCCCTGCATGTGCTTCAGGTAGTCTCCGAAGCATTGCAGGGTCATTCGGAAGCCACCATTCCAGGAACTTTCACTGCAGCTGCTTGCTTCTTTGCCGTGCATGTACTTCAGGTAGTCACCGAAGCTTTGTAGGGTCACTTGAAAGCCACCATTCAAGTGCAGCGTCTTCTCTCTTTGCCCTGCATGTGCTTCAGGTAGTGTCCGAAGCTTTGTAGGGTCATTGGAAAGCCACCGTTCAAGGTGGTTTCACTGCAACTGCGTGTCTCTTTGCCCTGCATGTATTTCAGGTAGTGTCCGAAGCTTTGTAGGGTCACTTGAAAGCCACCATTCAAGGTGGTTTCACTACAACTGCTTGTCGCTTTGCCCTGCATGCACTTCAGGCCACCATTCAAGGTGTTTTGATTGCTTGTTCTCATCTCCTGACACCTCATGGCCCTGCGCGTGCTTTTGTTGAAGAAAGTGCAGAACCAGCATGGCAAAAGGCGTGGCATACAGGCCACTGGGGCACACGAGTTGCTCCAATCTGTAGCACTAGCAATCTCGAACCTTAAAAGTTAAGGCTCTTCGAACAAGTTTGTGGCTGAAGTTTTGCCTTTGTGGGGTGACAGCTCCAGTGCCAGGGGTGTCCGCCAACAACTCCAGCGGCTTACCGCGCATGCGTGTGCTTTGGCTGTGACTGCCACAGCCGAAACTCTTCCTGCACATGTGGCGGGCTCATTTAAAGCCAGGGTGGGAGCCCCAGTCGGGCAGCGATGGCGAATCAACAACTTTCCAAGTTGGGTCACCAGACGAAATCCAAGCAGATCGTTCAAATCCAACACAAGCTGCTCCCATCTGGTCCCCTACTTGGCAGCTCCAGGCATTTGTCGTTTTGTTTCACTCAATGCAAACTCTACACCATCTTACACTCAGATGTCTTGGTGGAAGTCTTGCTTCTGAATTTCGTCTCTAATCAAAAACAACCAGTCAGTGTTGGTCGTTCTTTATTTGGGTGTGTAGCTCAAATAGGGAGACCTTCCAGTTCGACCCCGTGGGTTCAGTTCGGGAGTCATGACCAGTCGATATTCCTCGTTGGGGCCTATGGATGGTACCCCTGTGACGCACCCGCTCGAACTGAAATGGGATGGATTGATGTTTGACCTGGGAAGTTCTGGTCCGAAGCTGACCTGACATGATGAGAAGACGCAGGTGAAAAACCGGTCCTTTTTGATCCTTTTTGTCAGTCTTCATGATTCTGACATGAGCATCCGCAGTTATTTCGAGCTACATCAGGGCAGCTTGCTGTGGCCACGGTACAGTGGCACAATCATCCGTCGTAACTTCAGAAGAACCTTCCGAGCGCGTTCGGTAGCCCGTTTTGGAATGGAGATCCATCCGGAATTTCTTGAACCTGATTGATTGCACCGGAATTCAAGAAGTTCGACTCGCATCATCCCATAACCCCATCACCGAGTGAGTCAGTCCTATCAGCGAGCTGGGCGCCGGTTCCCAGGTTCCGGCGGTTGACGAGCCAGTTCTCCGTCGGGTCTGGCACCCAGTTCCGTCCGTGGACGTGCTGTTTTCGGCGGGACGATTGAGAGATCTTCTCGAACGGAAAGGGGTCAGGAAGTGAACGCAGGGTTAGGATGGTCGGCACACAGAATCACTGAGCCCAACGCTTTCGAATCTGAGTCTTCCCATGAGCTCCAGCCTTTGGCGATTGAGAATGGCCGTCCCATGAATCCCATGAGTCCCATGAGTCCCATGAGTCCCATGAGACCCCACGGGCGAAGCAAAGACCGGCATGTGATCCGGGCCACGTGGCCCGGTCGTGAGGGGCTTGTAGGGACCATCGAGTGGTCTGTTTCAATCTTTTTTGGAGTCTGACAGTCCCAAGCTCTCCAGTCCCAAGCTCGGCAGAATCATTTTCGGCAGAATCATAAGCCAGTCAACGAATCTTCCAGTTCGACGCCCAGTTCAGCATCACCCGTCCGGTGTTGTAGTACCACCAGCTTGCATTTGTGGCTCGTTTCCACTTACAAGTGGCGAGGGTTCTTCGATGGGGTTTGGCGGGGCATGGAATTGGGGATGTTTTACGGAATTTGGTATCACTTTCGGCATCTCCTGTGGCCCCGTCTGGTGACTTGTGGTATCTGGCGACTTGTGGCGTCTAGTTTCGGTGCCGGTTTTGGCCCATCTGCCGCGCACCAGATCAGTTACGCAAGCGATTCTTGCTGGTTTCGTCCGGTGGGGGGAACCGCAAGAATGCCACTCCTGCCTCCACTGGGGCCGGTTTTTCGGACGCCAAGAACCAACGGAAAGCAACGGGCCAAGAGCCAGTTTGAAACGAACTGTTTTGGAGGGAATTCGGAGGGAGAGACTCGGAGAGACCTCGCTTTTCTTCTTTGCTTTTCTTGACCTGTTCCTTGTTCCTTCTTCTTTTCCTTTTCCTCTCCTTCTGCTTCCTGTTCCAACTGTCCTTCTCTGTTTTAGAAGACCCAGAAAGGAATAAGGCATATGTAATATATCACTATTTATAGTATATAGATATATATAAATACATACATAACATATATATTGTATGTATATATATATATATATACCAAACTCACAGTCATGTAAACATCAAGTCGCAACCGTCCCGATCCGTCCCCCCATCCGGCATGAACGTGCCGTGCACCTCCCTGAGGCCACGCTCGCCCGAGGCCGCCACTCTCCAACGAGTCCAGCGATCCGTCTGCTTACCGGGTTGAGAAAGGACACCTTAGCGGAGCTCTTCTTTGTAGAAGCCTTGTTACTAGTAGCTTTTAGCTACTAGTAATGGCCTCCAACCTAAGGACTCCAACCTAGTCCTCCCAAATTATCACCTGTAAGGAGCACGGTTGCTCTGTTTGTTTCGCACGGTCTCAATTGGACCGTCAACATGTGCGCTTCAGTCTGCCAATTTTGCATTGGCACGAGTACCTTTGACAAAAGGTTGATGAGTTCCAAGGGCGGCCGATCAATAGCAGCATGATCACCACCTGGGACCTACGTATCCCTCATAGTTCTTACTTGATGCACCTCAAGATCCGGTTCACGTGCTGAGCAGGCCAGAGGCTCGGCCCGTGCCTTTGCTGGGCGGGCCTCCCGCACGGGGCGCGAGGCGGGTCTTGGCCTTTGCCATTCGTCGAACATGTTCACGTCCGCCACTGCCGCCACTGCCGCCACTGCCTGCCACTGCGGGTTTCCCATAGGTTTTGATGCGTTCCCTGATGGGCAGAGTCCATCGTAGCGCATCCAGATGAGCATTCCTGTAGTGGCCTTCATGGCTTTCCTCGGGCGTGAGGAGCGAAGCTTTCGGATAGAAGAAGAGGGTAATTAATTACTGTAGTATCCACTTGTCCCTGAAGCAAGGCCATTCGTTTGGTGCTTTTGTGGAGAATCCATAAGGGTGTTTGCATGATCGTAGCACTCCGTCGTTGATCTCTCTGTCTCTCCTTCTATCCTTCCGTCGTTCTTTTTCTTTCTTTCTTTCTTTCTTTCCAAGCATGCTTCATAGCTTTCAGGCAGCCAAGCCTCCAGTGGAAGCGCAAGCCAAAGAGCCTGAAGCCCAAGACTGCGTGCGTTGGTGAGAAAGATCAAGAACGCTCTCTCAGATCCTCCTGTTTGAACATGTACTTGCTAGCTGGTACCACATGTACCTTGTACCTGCATGAACAAACTTGTATGTTCCAGTCAGCCGCAGGAAGCTCCGGCCAGGCTGTCTTTTGCATTGATTCAACAGCTTTTTGGGCCCTATCAACGACCCACAGAAAAACATCGGGAACATGCTCGTCACACAAGGAAGGTCAACTCTCTGTCCGTCCAAAGGTCCATTTTACCGTCAAGCACAGTAATGTGCAGGTGCTGTGTGACAAAATATGTGACCCATGAGAAAAAGGCCAGCAAAATAATGCGCTAACAATATTTTCCTTGTTAGGTATTCTACACAAGCTCAAACACATGGATAAAGTTTTTTTTGCTGAATGTTTGGGTGCATGCGCTGCTGAAGATGTATGCTGTCAAGGCAGAAGACATGATGTGTAAGTGTGTGAGTGTAAGATGCTATAACAAGCAGCTAGTCGCTTAACGGAAGTCAGCGCAGTCGACACTGGCCAACGAGGCTCGAGTAGAAGAGTCTGTGAATGCACAGACTTGTACCTGCCTAGCAGTGCACGCTTGATAGCACGCGGATGCGGCTAAGGCTAACTCAAGAATCGCAATAATCGTGCATCTAGAGTCTGATCACTCTTTGAAGGTGTCGTCCTGCACAAACTTCTCAGACAGGGAATGCCGACGGAGGAGCTTCCACCGCGAAGTCAGTTCCTACGGCACAAGTGAGTTCGGCATCAAAAACTCCGGAATTAAAGATAAATTCCGGATAAGCTTTTGTCCGGAATTCCTTTTGTGCCGGCACAAGATAAGCTTTTCTCTCCGGATAAGCTTTCTCTTCAGATTCTGGAGAGAAACGTTTTGTTCAACTGAAATAGGTTAGGGACTCAGGAGGTGCATCGACCACCCACAAGCTCCACACGTTCCCAATCCCCTCCTGTGTGTTAAGCAGCTCTCTCTTTTTTGCATGTCTCAGAAAAAAGAGCCTCACATGATACATGCTGATGCATCATTGGTGCTCAACGATTCACTATGGATTCACCATGATGTGCACCTCCCACGCCTGCTGCCGGGGCCCCCGTCGTGCCACGAACGCTCCGACGAGGCCTACGGAGGTGAAAGAGCCTCCGAAGGAAGAACCGAAGGCGGCGTGCCCATGCGAGACTGGGTGGTTTCAGCGAACAGATGCATTGCTTTTGATGGGGGATCCCCGGACAGCAGTGGACATGAAAGAATGGAAGACAGATCATTTCACTCGTGCGTGTTTTTTTCCGACTGGGACTCGTGGTTTGTAGCTGAGTATGGGCATTTTTGTCGCGCAGTTGAACAACTGACTGAGGGTGGTAGAAGGCACTCAGTCAGGAGGTAGTTGTGCTGATGCCAGGCACAAGTCACTGATCTGCCAGATGGTCTGATTGTGCTGCCGCTTCTCAGGAGTCGTTTCGTTTCATTTCTTCGGATCGGCTTAAGTTCAGAGTACTTGGAATCAGATTCTGACTTGTGACCGGTTTCCCACCTTTTACGTATAGATCAGTCTGTGTTAATGTTCTAACATAGCGAAGTCGGTCTCCCCCATTGAATTCTGGTTAAAGAATGATAATATATAGATCAGTCTAACCATTGGGCGACGGGCCGGCCACGGGGGTCTCCATATTAAAATACACGCAAATGGTTTTCAGTTTCCGGGTTATGCATCGATTGTTGTGTATATACCCATTCCTTTGCGTCATTTCCATGTTTAGTGCATGTGCCCTACTACTTATGTTGAGTTATTTCTACAAGACATTATATAGACAGCCGAGGAAATGTTGAGGACACTCTCAAACCACCCAGAACAGGGGGATAACCGGGATAACAGAACAATTTTTCTTGCGATCTCTTTTGGAAAGCCCTTCTCGAAGCTACTTCCAGAAGACCCCCCTTCTTGTTCTCGTTTGCGAAGTCCGCCTTCAAAACCCTTCACGAAGCCCCCTTGAAGCATCCTTCGAAGGTTTTCTTGAAGCTCCCCATTGAAAGCCGTCCCCTGGACATTTCCACACAGAGTGGTGTCTCGCGAAGATTGTCAACAACAAAGCTCCTTTCAAAGGCCAGTGGCAGTTGCAGTAGCAGCAGCAGTAGTATATAGCAGTAATGAGGGATGAATAATGCATTATTCTTGGAGCATGGATGGCCTGCAAAGCGCTTTTTGGTGAATGTGCAAAGATACTGGGCAACTGCGTTCCCTTTTTGGGCAGATTTCCCTTCTGCAGGAAGCCGGCATTCCCTTCCTTCAAGCAGATCTTACAGGTTGGACAATCAGGGTGGGGGAGGCCCCAAGCAAAGTGACCGCTAGTTGCAATTTATGTAGAGATTCTTACTCATTTGCATTTCTGCGAGCACATACATCTCCAGCTCTGGAAGCGACGCTGTAGACAAAGATGCTGGCGTACACAGAAAGACATTCGAGTTTCTGTACTCTTTCCCGCATACAAAGATCCAATCCCTCCCGCACAAAGTGAAGTGAGATTTGGGGGAGACTGTCTCATGCAGAAAAGATCGCGGTTTGACCACCTGCTCGCTTTTCTGTTTCCTCCCAACTCCTTGTTTTCAGCACTCGGCGCTCGGTTTCTGCCTCCACAGCAAGCTTTTGCCACCCCTCCACAGGTGAGTGAGCCTGAAGTGATCGATCTTTTGAAGACCTATCGGAGCAAGAACCAGGCGGGCACTCTCGTGCCTGGGGCGAGTCCATGAGGATCACAGTCTTGTGATGTGTACAGCCTCAGAGGTGAGACTTTCCCAGAGGTGAGATTTTGCACACCACTCAAAAGGCCAGAAGGAGGGTTCGTAGTGCGTATGCCTTGAACTTGACATAGGGGTTAGACATGATACAAGGTAGGTATCTGCTTCTCAGCTGAAGAATAGATGCTAGACTCTGCTAGACTCTGCTGGACCTTCGGTTTTACCACAGTGAAGCCGCTCCAAATCGTGCTGCCTCAAGCCGCAGTTCGAATACATTGGCGGCTTCTTGATGAAGGATGCAGCTGTCCGGGCAGCCTGTTTGCCCCCGTGGCCTGCCACTTGAGCCAGTAGAGTTCCAAGCTGCACCCAGGTGACTTCAAAGAGATAGCTCAAACATGCTGAAACAGACTTCAGTATGCTCACCCACCAGTTCACCACCACCAATCGATGCACACTGACACCCAGACTTCCCCAGACTGAGGGCCAGGACCCTCCGAGAGCCTTTGGCAGCTCCGAGCCCTCCGCACCTGGGCAGCGACCGAGCCCTCCAGGGGACCTCGGACCGGACCGGATTACGGAGGAGTCGAGACCCGCCCCCATGGGAATCCTCCTTTTTCGGGTGGAGCTGTTGAGCCAGCTTGTATTGACACCGGGTGAGAGGGGGGTGTTTCTGGTGTGTTTCCGTGTTTTCAAAGCTTCTTTCAAATATGTCTCCCCATTTTTGTGGCTGAAGCGCAAAAGGCCCAAAGTGGGGTTTCACATAGAAGGACTTAGCCTCTCAAGGCACGGTCAAAGGATAAACTAACCAAGATGGCCTACTTGCCTAGCTTCTGGTTTCCTACAATCAATAGTCAATCCAAGATTTGACTTCGTGCGGGACGGCTCTGGGGCTCAGGGCTTGCGAAGGGATGCAGGGAAGGCAGAGAGTGCTTGGGGCGCTCAGAGAGTTCTGCCTTGGCCAGCTGTGTGCGGGTGAGGAGACGAATCTTTGCAAGATGAGTCTGGACTTGTGAAGGCATCCCTCCAGTTTCTTTGCAGAGTCTTGTTTGAAGGTCAGAGTCCGTAGAGATGATTTGGCCTCATTAGCTTCGCTTCCCGAGATGTATCTCCAAAGACACGGATCATCTGCTGGTAGTATTTCCATTTCGCTGTTGAGCCAGTATGTTTTCTTGATGGCCACCACAAAAATCGTTCCTATTATTCTCGCACCGAATCAAACCAGTGGCCTTCACCCAGGTCAACCAATTGGAAGAGGTGGGGACACTACTCCAGGCGCCGACGGCGTGGCGCGGCCCTGGGCCCTGTACTCATCAGTGCAGGTGCGGAAAGGTCCATGGATTTGAGATGACCTTCAGATGTTTCTTTTGGGGGGGGCCCAACATGATTTGGATTCCGTCACCCATTCACCACACCCAACAAACATATCCCATGATAACAAACATATCCCCACCCAAAATCTCACCCATTCAAAAGGAGATTTCCATTCACCACTAGAGGTGACGTTCTCGGTGACGTTCTCCAGGTCTTGGAGATCATTTCCTTCAGCAACAACGCGGGTGGCCAGATCACTGTGGGGGCTCTCCGCTTGCGACGGGGGCGACCGGGGGCGACCGGGGGTCGGGGACAAGCGCTCCGCTTGCGCTCAATCTGGAGAGGAGCAAGAATGGATCACTGGAGACAGGGGCAGGGTGTGTCTAGGATCCTGGAACTCAATATGATACCAATGCCAATGACTTGGAGATGATTCAAGAAAGGGTCCAACCTTGCTTCGGAAAACCTTGCTTTGCCGGGTTCACACCGTTGGATCGGCAAGCTGAACAAATTTGTTGGTGAAGCAACGTTCTCACTTGCTCCCTTCTTTGATGCCAGTGAGGCTTCTTTAATGAGTGCATCCTATTGGTCATCCTAATTTTTTGTGTATGTTCCTCTCTTCATCTTGCTAAGGTGATGCCCAAGTATCGCGTTCGGAAAACAGGAACCTTGACCCAGCAGGGTGACCCAGAGCGGCCGTTTTTCGGAGCGCCTCCCTGCTACAGGGAGGACGGGAATGGGTCTCTGCCTGTGATCACTATTGAGGTCCATCTCTAGTTGATCAGTCTTATGTACCTCTCGAACACAATCTGCCACAGGTGGTAGCTTCCTTTCTTACACACCAGTCGATGCTCTCTGGTTGCAGTATCATGTCCCTTTGGTGCTTGTTGGCTCCAGCGATCGTGCGCCGCGCCACCCCACTTTTCACTGCACGCGAGTACGGGCATGCGAGCTCGCTGGCGATATGCCAACTTTTCGGCAGGACTGGAAGAGTCTTGCGCAGTGGTTTTGGAAACAGTATATGTACACACATATATACATGTATACTATACTATATTACATTATACTATATTGTATTATATTATGGTATATTATGTTATATTACATTATATTATACGAAACTATATTATATTATAGTATATTATATTATATTATGTTGTATTATATTGTATTATATTATGTACAGATGACACATATACTGTCACCCACTTAGTGTTGACATAGATTCTTAGATGCATTTTGCTTTTTTGAACATAGAAAGCCAAACTGAATTTTTGGTTGAATCGCTTGGCAGTTTCGAGCCAAAGCGCTGAATCCGATCGCCATGTGGCCGTCTCTGTAAAACATGTAGGCGATCGGATTGAGTTCACAGCCCATGCTCGGTCTCTGTTTTCGCCCAACTCTCCACCGTGACCAGCGTCGATCCTCAGGACTGGTCACCATGCTATCACCCAGCCGCTCTCTTGCCGTGTGGTCGGGTGGACGGACCCACCCGAGCTCGGGTCTTGGGAACCCGGTGCGGGTGTGTTGTCAAAGGGCGTGCGCCGTTCTTTTTGGCCGAACAAAAACCCAATGGTGGAAGTGTGGGATACGACTCCCTTTTTTGCCGCAAACTTCCGCCTGAGAGATGTTGGCTGGGCACATCTTGGTGAAGGTTGGCATCAACTACGACCAGAAAGGATGGAAGACTCTCTATTCGTTACGCCCATTGAGGGTTGCCAAACCAATAGAGTTAGTTACCAAAAGCTCATGTCATTTGGATGAAAGACAAGATTTCGACCGAACAAACCACAACGCCTGATTTGCACCAGCAGCAACAAGGCGTAATCATCTAATTCGCACCAGCAGTTCTGCACTTTCCACATGTCGGTTTCCTCAGGTATCTACTCTTTATCAGTGCTTTGCTTTCTTGGTGCCTCCAGCGGTCTCAGCCAGCAACTAGCAGGCAGGTGATGTGGTTCCCAGTTGCCAAGAAAGGTGCAGATTGTACTTCAGTTGGGACATGGACATGGTTCCAAAATCTCATGAAATCACAGAGTTTGGGAGTGACACATGATGATTCCAGCATGATTTCAGAGTCGTTGCTTCCCATCTTTGAAATGATGGGATCTGGCACTTTCTTGATAGTAACTCAAGCATCTGCATTAAGAGGCTTCTTCTCTTGTTCTTGACTGCGAGGAACTCTTCATTGGCGGCTCCATGTCAGCAAGGCTTTTATTCCTGGTCAGCGTCGACAAAGCCAGCCAGTTTCATACCTTTTCCCAAGGCTGTAGAGCGGTCCACAACTCTCAGCTACAAGCTTGGTACGTATACATACATATATATATATATACATAGTAATATAGACATTATATAGTTATATATTATATATAGCTATGTATTAAAAACTATTTGCGCAGAGAAACATGTATGTATCTATCTTCTGTTTTTTTTGTATGCATATATCGATTTGTTGCTGATGTTGATGGTTCCTATTGAACTGCCCACATGAAATGAAGTCCTGCCATCCTCCACCTGCCCATCCTTACGCATTTTTGATGGAGTCGGACCAGAGCAAGCCGCCGGACCCAGATGCCTGGGACAAACTGGTACCAAATGCTTTTGCAACGCAGCCGGGATAAATGGGAATGCCATCACTGGAATGCTTGGAGAAGGACCTTGCCGCTGGCCACACCCATAATTCATGGAGTTTGAACCCACATAGCTTGTTCCCACCCAGATTTGTTTGATGAGAGCATCCAGCTTCTGGTCTGGTCTGGTCTGGTCTGGTAAGAAGAAGAAGAAGAAGAAGAAGAAGAAGAGGAAGAGGTCCTTCTCGTCGACCAGTGTGGGTACTTTTCGGTTTTCTCCGCCCTCAGTCTCCTCCGTCTGCTGCCCATTTTCTTCGCGCGATCCGTTCCCGAGGCCCTTTGCTTCGAGTGAGCCCTTTCAACGCTCGATTCGTGCCGCGACGCCGCTGCGGGCAAAGAAGAAGGCACGGGCGACATCGACGGCCCAGAGCGTGGGCATGTTGCAATGAGCCTGGGCTTCGCCTGGGCTGGGCAGTTTCGGCGAAGACGGTCTTTCGATGGAAGAGAAGCACGACCAAAGCACTAAGAATACACCCAAAGAGGGAGTAGCCCAAACGTGGACCGGGCATAGCCCTGGAGAAAACTTCACCATGGCCTTGTCCAGCCAAGAGTAGAGTAGAGCCTAGCCCAGAGCGGAATAGAAACCCTTTGAAGCCCAGAACAGAATTGCCCGACGTGCCTGGCCCACAACCAACCAATTCAAGTTTTGCCAGAATAGCTCAGAGTGGTGGCCGAGTTTGAGAAGGTATATTATAGTTCGACTGAGTGCTCGTCGTCTCGGTCACGAAAGCCCTCACTGCTGGTAATTTTTCTTGAGTCCTCTGCTTGGTAAGTAGAACGCACAAATCGTCCAGAGTGAAACAGCTTGGAGTAGTCCTTAGTAGCCCGAGAGACATGAACCGCAGAAGACCCTCAAAATGGAGCGTTGAGTAGCCAGAGCGGCCCAGCTATGAATAACCGAGACTGAAACAGCCAGGAGAAGCACTTGAGCGTCACAGTTTCAAGTGCTTGAGTAGCCCAAAATCAGACTAGGCCTGGGTGGCTTGAGTACCTACAAGTTGTAGAGTCTCAGCACAGAGTTACTGTATACATCTATTGTGGCCCAGTTCCAAACAGCGCTTCATTTTGCAGCATTTCTCCCCCGGTTCTTGCCTGAGTCGTCTGAAGAGGCTGTAGACCCTGAGCGCGCCGCCAAGCGGAAGGCTGCGATGGAGGTGAACGGGAACTCCGGGACCGACCGGTGGACCGACCGATTGCCTAACCAAGCAGAATGGGCTACTGGGATGTCATGTGTCAAGAGATTTTCCATTCAGAGAGGTCACACCGTGTCTACTAGTACCAGCAGAAAGGCAGAATCGCCACACGGTGTTTGGCGCGCCCAAACCCAAAGGGTTAGAAGAATTTGGCCGCTGTGTTCACATATGTTGGGAGGAGTTTTTGCTTGAACTCAAACTGCAGCTGGTGAACAACCATGGAAAAACAAGAAAAAGACACATGGTTCTTGGATAGCTCGTGTGTGATCTTATCTGCCTCACCTTACATACTCTTGAGTTCGCCCCGGGTAAAAGGAGGTTGGAGGTTAGTGACCATGGTTTTTGGGTGTTTTGATCATTGATTAATACAGCCACCTAGCAGCTCTAGCCCTCCACACCTTCACCCATCCTGCAGAGCCTGCAAGTATGTGTGTACACACACATATATATGTATATATATGTATGTGATAGAGGGACCTGCAGGTGCCATTCCGCACTGGACAGAATGCTGGGACGTGGAGGGATTTTTCCTCGTGAGGCCAGACAAGTGGCCTTGAAGAAGGCCGAAGCAGAAAAGAGGAATTTAGAGGCAGGTTCGGCTGCCATTGATCCAGACCTGGCCGGTGTAGCTCTGAATGGAAGAAGGAGCACTGGGAGATCCAGAAGGTTTGTTTCTGGTGAACAGATGTTCTGTTTTGAGCATGTCCACATAAAAAGAGTCAGTTCAGGCATGTTGCGACCATTCACACATCGTTTTGGCTAGGTGACACCGACTGATTTGCATGTGATTCAAAGTGCAGGGTTGACCCTAGAGCCAAAGTCACGGGGCACCGTGTCGGAGAATTCGCACACCCTATTCTGTGTGAGGGTTCAGTGATTCTGATGTCTCCTAAGAGTTCATCCTCTTGCACTGTAGGGACTGCCGCCGGCGCCCGCAGCGCAGCCTGTAGCGACCGCGCGGCAAAGCGCGGCGAGCGCGGCAAAGCGTGCGGCGCCTGTGGCAAGGAGCGGTTTTGATCTCACCCAAACCCAGCCGACCTAGCCCACCTAATAGCGATGGCCTCCAACCTACTAGCGCTGGCCTCCAACCTACTAGCGCTGGCCTCCAACCTAATAGCGATGGCCTCCAACCTACTAGCCATGGCCTCCAACCTACTAGCGATGGCCTCCAACCTAATAGCGATGGCCTCCAACCTACTAGCGATGGCCTCCAACCTACTTGCGATGGCCTCCAACCTACTAGCGGTGGCCTCCAACCTAATAGCGATGGCCTCCAACCTAATAGCGATGGCCTCCAACCTACGAGCGCTGGCCTCCAACCAAATAGCGATGGCCTCCAACCTAATAGTGATGGCCTCCAACCTACGAGCGCTGGCCTCCAACCAAATAGCCATGGCCTCCAACCAAATAGCCATGGCCTCCAACCAAATAGCGATGGCCTCCAACCTACGAGCGCTGGCCTCCAACCAAATAGCGCTGGCCTCCAACCTACTAGCGATGGCCTCCAACCTAATAGCGATGGCCTGCAACCTACTAGCGATGGCCTCCAACCTACTAGCGATGGCCTCCAACCTACTAGCGATGGCCTCCAACCTACTAGCGATGGCCTCCAACCTACTAGCGATGGCCTCCATCTAATCTACTAGCCATGGCCTCTAGCCCAATAGAAGTTGACCATCCTTTAAACCATGAACACTGATCCATCGTAAATCGTTTCCAGGCCAGCGCCAGCCCCGCGGGCGCAGCCGGGACGGAGGAAGAGGGATCCTGAGAGAGAAGCCAAGAGGTTGGAAGCGGCCAAGGCGTGGCACCGCTGGGCAAGGCATGGATATTCCTCAAAATCAAGGACCTGTAGGCCCTAATTAGTAGGCCCTAGCCGTGGGGAAATGCATGGAAGTCCAGGTCCAAAAACATTCATGGCTTCAGGTCCAAAGTAAGAGTCCTGAATGCGCCTGCACAATAGAATCAATGACCAGCAAATGAGTGAATGTCAAGGATGAAAGAGTAGATATGAGGGGCAAACAAGTGCAGCCCAAGAAGCTGCGTTTGCTCAATGATAGGGTCACGATCGTCCGCAGAAAAGGCTCTTTTCGCCACGAGCCCCGATCTCGCTGGTTGGGACTGCTCGTTGGGACCTTTGCGACCGGAACACCACCGACGGGGAGCGTGGACCTGCGTGGTGCGCGACCGGAACATCGACCTGGACGAAGCGAACCGATCCGCGGAGGCTCGGCAAGAGGCGATCCGGCGAGCCGCCGAGGAGCGGCAGAAGCTGCAGGTGCCGGTGTCGGGTGTTCGGGAGCGGAGCGGCGGAGGCGAGGTCCGTGGAGGGCGGCGAAGTCATGGCCTAAAGGAAGTGGAGGGTATGTTGAGATCAATTCGATGATGATCCATGTATCTCAATGAGGAAGAATGCCGTAGGAGGATGTAACAGGGAGAGCGAGAGAGAGAGAGAGAGTCCAGCGGAGGATACGGGGGTTTGATTGCTTTGAACACTCCTGTGAGCTAGCAGCTAGGCACACTCTCCATTCGCTTCCGAGCTCGCATTTGCAGTACTTCACGTCCGAATCCGAAGCAAGCAGAACGACAGATGTGCGTGAACTGGGGAATCAGTATTTGGCTTGTGTGGCAGGTGGGATTCAAGTGACTCTGGTGCACCAACACGTTGGTTCAGACTCCCCAAGCTCCAACCTGCCAGCTTCAATCAATTCATTCACAGTCTTCTGGAACATAACTCTCAAGCAAGTGGTCAACTTTGGGCTCAATCGTGATGGGACAGTATAGGAGGAGTCAGATTCTTGTTGCGGGCGGCTCCACCGATAATATCTCTTCAAGGACAGTCAACAATGGCTCCCAAGGAAGACATTCTTCGATGTGGGGAAGGGACATGGCCTGTCTCAACGGGAACCCTGAGTGATCTACTTGACCCCCTCTGGTGGCTTCTCTGCCTCCTCGCGAACGTCAAACACACGCCCCGGCCTCGATGCGAACGTCAAACAACCTGACCCAGGTGGGTCCATACCTACCCTAAGACTGCCAGGTGAACGGCCATAAGCCAGCTGCAGTCGTGACAAAGAGAGATAGCAAAAGAACCAGGGAGGCTCTTGGGTTCGATGATGTGGAGGTTTCTTTGCGAGTCAGACGTGGGCGGGACATGGTTCAAGTCCATCCATGTAAAGTCCATCACGAAGTCGTTACGATCACTCCTGACCCGAACGGTTGAAGCTAAACCTCGCTTCTTGGGCAGGGCCTTCTTTTCGGCGTGGAGATGGCATTGAACGTCTTGTAGTCATCACCGCGGTGCCAAGCCTTGTAGTCATTGTAATCCTGGCTAAGATGTTTGCCAAGCATGATGTTGTAAAGCTATCCTTAGCAAGAAAGCCACCGTGCCAGCGAGAAGGACAGAAGAAGAAGAAGAAGAAGAAGAACATACTAATAATAGTAATAGTAATAGTAATAAGAAGAAGCGAGAGCCCCGAATCCGGAATCCGTCCGTCGAACGACGCGGGTCCAACCTTGCCGTCGTGGGAAACGTTCTCGTCTTGGACGTCCATCGCTTGAGGCTGCCCCAGCAGACCTGGATTTTGGGAGCATGACAGTAGTGGAGCTGAAAGAGGAGCTTCGGAAGAGGGGGCTGAAGGCCGAGTGTTCTCGGTTCGCTGTTGCGCGGCCTGGCAAGGAGAAGGTACCTCACGAAAGAAAGGGCAGTTTGAGGAACATCTAGCACCAAAATCAAGTGGATTGTTGCCCATGTATCTTGGTGATGGGCCGCAGGTGAGGGGACCATGATCGTCATGTTTCGGATGTCCTTTTGCCTTTTTTGTGTGTCGGGGAAGCTTCTTTCCAGTAGCTAAATAGATTGGGGTGTATTGCAGTGAAACTAGATGCAGCTGCTGTGATTTAGACTCACAGGATTCGCTTCACTTTGTCACCAGCCTGACATGGGGCGGCATAGCTTAATGTCGTTGATAGGTGGCAGGGGAGGCGGTGGAATGTTCTGGGCTTCGGGTCGTACTGTTGGTACTCCGAATTCTTCAGAGATGAAGGAATTCTATTGACAAAGATTCAGCCCGTATTTGTCTTTTCTCCAGACTGGTTGATTGGATTTGGCTGGCCTTTTTCTCGCCCTCACCAACTCGCTTGTCAGGTCTCTGGCAAAAAGCAAGAGCTGATTGAGCGCCTACAGGCGCAGAATGGGGCCGTACAGGCAGGGGTTCGTTCGGCGTCAACTCATGGGATTTGGGATTTGGGACTGTTTGGGAGTCCAACATCTTCGAAGAAAGAGGATCCATCGAGGTCTGGACTGATATCCTACTCTACTATCGAGATCCACCCTTGCTGCCCTTTCATGAATGGGAACTTTCCGGACGTATTTTGGCTTCTATGGGCCCGGCCCTTGGCTTCACGGCACAGTGCACTTCAGATCATGGAAGAATCATTGAACGGTTATAGCACGGTAGGCTTTCCGAAATCAAACTAGTTCACCCTTGGCCCTTCACCAACCTGAAGCAATTCGGAACTTCGACTCTTCTCGCCCCAGTCGTTTCTTTCACGCCCAGACCCAACTCTCTCAAAGTCGTCAACGGAGACTCATCGAGGGCGTGCCCCCGTCTGTGCCAGGACTCTGGAGCTCCGAGTGCAGGACTCTGGAGCACTGACTCGCTGCTTCGGCATCTTCGACCGGCCCAAAACACGATTGGCAGGGAAGATGAAGTATTTCGGACATGGATTCATACTAGTACAATAGTAAGCTAGTAAGTCAGACAGTCAGCCAGACAGTTTAAGACCTTTATTATTTTTACATCTTTTTACGTCTTGGGGACCTTTCGGATTCGCCCCTCTCGGCAACTCTTGGCGCGCTCCGCGGTGTTGCGCACCGCGCCGTTCGTCCGAACGAGAACGCGTTCAGCGCTCGCTCGGTGCGTGGTGCCGGCTCTTCCCGGGAGACCGAGAGAGGCGACCCGTAGCCCCATCGTGTTCTTTTTGCGGACACGAAAAGCACCTGCCGTTCGGGCCATTCCGAGAAGCCGGGTGGCCATTGGGCCATTTGGAGGAGAGCAAGGTGCTGCGGCCGACTACACCAAGATGAAGGCGAGAACAGTCTGTTGAGTCATTGGTGGATTTCCAGGAGCACAGGTGGTAGAAGAAACAACTCTCAGAAGCTGAAATACATGCGCTCAAGCTATGGGCTTTTGGGTGAATGCGTGGTTTGATTTTGAACATGTTTGAGCTAACTTTCAGACTCCTGAGCAGAATGAGGTGGAGGTCCTTGAGGAATCTAGCTCACAACCACTATATGGCTGCTTTGTCTGTAGTGAAAGGGAGCGCACCCCACATCATTTCAGACTTGGGCATGTTTGAAGGTTCTTCAGACAGAGGGTCTTGTCATATTGACACACTTCGAACTTGGGTTTTCAGTTAACGCAATTGTCTCAATGGGAAAGAAGGCGATGGAACGGCATGGTGAAAAGTCCGAAAGACTTGTAGGTGTTTCAACAAGTTGTTGGTCAAGTCTGCTGAACGATCGGTCGGCGCGGCCCAGCTGCAAGACAAACGCGGCAAAGGGAAGGTTTTGGGGGAGTATCATGAAGAACCATGAATCAAATCTTGGAAAAGTAGGGTGACAGCTTGTGGAAAAAACCTCGGCAGGTACACAATGCGGCGTCCCGCATTGCTTCACCACGAGCTGACAGCGTCTTCGTTGGGCAATGTCTGTCAGTCGTGCATTGCCCCCCTGCCTGTGTAAAATGGGAAGAGTGGTGGGGTAAGACCCTTTGTCCAGGGTGGGACACACACACACAAAATGAGCAAAGGTCACTCAGTCTACAGAGGGGTGCTGAATCAAAAGAACCTTTGGCTTGACATTAGGGATGACTGGAGTCGGAAGAGGGTAGTGAATGGTGTGGATTGTAAAGGTGCTTCTCCAGAAATCCTTGTGCCCAAGGCCCAAGAGTCTTGAATGGCCTTCGGCTGTGCTGTTCTTCTAACCGGTCTCTGTGGGACCTCGGAAAGACCTGGTTCGGATCGGCTTCCGCTGGGATCGGCGAGGAAAGACCTCGAGCCTCGTTCCCGAAAGCGGCGCCAGGTGGCCGAGCTGCGTGAGGAGCTGAAGAAGCTCCAGCAGCCGACGACGGGCCGCAAAGATGAGCTGATCCAGCGGCTGCAGGCGTTACTGTCGAAGAGAGAGAGAGAGAGAAGCGGAGAGAAGCGGAGAGAGGCGGAGAGAAGCGGACGGATGAGAGGTGGGCTTTGGAAGTAGGAATGTTGAGCATGGCGTTCACATGGAAGTGAGATTGGAATTCAGCGGAGGCAACATTTTACCAGGGTTCACCAATCCACTTTCAGCTTCATCCAGTTTTTCCAGGAGCGATCCGACACTTCCGTTTAGTTCCACCAACAAGAGCTGGATGGCCTGACAGGGTCGGTAGGTAGCAGCGACCAGGCAGCGACCAGCGCGGAGCGCGCGCAGCCGCAGCCGCAGCGCCCGGCGGTGGGCCAGAAGCTGCGCGGGACAGTGACAGGGCTTAGAAATTTCGGTGCCTTTGTGGACATAGGCGTGGGTGCGGGAGATGGTGTGGAAAGCCGTGGAAGGTTTTTGGAAAGAACTTTTTGACTTAAGGATTAAGCCACCAAATGTAGCCAAAGAAATACAACAGATATACGGTATGATCAAGACGAGGAATAGGCATATAGGCTATAGGCCTCATTCATCAGGTTGGAGGCCATCGCTATTAGGTTGGAGGCCAGAGATGGACTGAGACTCGCTTGCTGCGCAAGCCGTGGAGATGCATGTTCACCGTTGGAGACCTCGGTCAATGTACATGGGCGCAATCCGGACTCGCGTGAATCGTGGTGTCCGAACACTCATTCTTAGGTCATCTTGGTGGCCGAAGAGCAAACTCTTCTGGGCCCAGATTGGAACAAGAGTGTGTTCTGACCGATTCGTTGGGACTTTGGGCTTTTAGGCCACTTTGTTCAGGCTTGGGCCGGCCTGCGCTGGTGCGAACATCGCGCTTGGCGGAGCGTATGGACCTTGGCATGCTTAGGGTGAGACAGGGACACCCTGCAGTTCACACCCTTAAAACAGCAGGATTCGTCAGTTTTCGACCAAGTGCACCGTCCAATTTACCGTCTATCTCAAGGCTTCGGGGGATTTGCGCACCGCGAATGTCTTGAGCCAGGGTTTGTTCTTTCGGCCAATGCTTCAACTGTTCGATTCCCGCAAGGATCCAAGTAGGGTTCTTTCCTTTCGCGAATTTTAAACAATCTTACTGTAATGTTGACACTCAAACGATTGTTTTGCTTTTTCTCGTTAAACTTATTTACACGTCAGGTGTGCTTCACTGGGCGAACCCGTTCGGGCCCCCCCGTTGCCCCGTTCGGGCCCCCGACCGAACCGGGCGGAAGCCGGCGGAAGCCGAGGTCATGTCCGAGCAGCTTCTGAAGTGGTCCAGGAGGGCGAGGAGAGTTGGACATGCACATCATGTGAGGGTATAAGTATATGTGTTTATTTTTTGCGCATAGTCTGAACACCAAGATGAACCACTCGATTTTGAGTCTGAACACCACACAGGTGGTCAATCTATCTCGCAAGAGTTGGTCTGCGCAGCCGCTTTGTGCGGCATAGGGAAACGCCCCACTCTGGGCGGATGCCGTCGTCCGGTTGTTCCCGCACAGCGCTTCGCTTACGGCTTCGGAGCAAGTTCTGGAGCAGGTTCCGAAGCAAGGTCCGGGGCAAGCCGCAGCCTCCAGAGCCGGTCTGCGGGTAGGTTCCGAGCACGCAGCAGGTTTCCGGAGACCAAGGTCTGGAGCAGGTGATGGGGCCCAGGAGGTTCCGGAGAACCAGCTCTGCCCGGAACTACTAGCCTGCTGACTCTTGTCACGCTGGGATGCTGACATGAAGTGATGCTATCGTGCTGACATGCTGGCAGGCGGGTTCCGGAGCAGGTTCCATGGTTCTTGCTTGTTGCTGTGCTGTCATGCTTGTACATGCGGGCACACATATTGTCATGTGGCGATGTTTGCATTGCGCATTGAAAAGGGTCACGTATTTAAGGCAGCATTGTTTGGCAAAGACACGGCGCTTGCTAGTGAACTTTCCATGTTGCCTTGCCAAGTGGGGGAATTCATGCCCGACTGCTAGGGAGTTTTTCTTGGGTTTAATTTTGTGATCCTGGGCGGTCCCTGGGGTGGTCCTTGGGACTTGCAAACTTGGCCTCGAAACTTCCATCAGGGATAGGGCTTTGAAAAAGGCCCTTCTGTTTTGCCAAGTTCTTGACCGAGGGCAGTTACCATGGCTTTTGGATGGTTAAGTTATCACACTGCTTTTTGTTCAGCGCGCAGTTCCGGAACATTTGTTTTTGCATGCTAGGAACCTCGTGCAGTCGCTAGAACCGCAAACATCTATATAATCCCTCATGTGACAGTCACTTGACCTAGGACCTGTGCCAGTCTCACACGAGCAGAAGTAAAGCTTGATCTCCACCTTTTAGGTTTCCATTGTGTCACATGCTTCTTTTCCTTTTTCCTGAATCCAAGATGTGGTGTTTTCTTGTTTCGCAGGATGTGGATGTCTGGGCGCCTTGGCCTGCACCAACTCCACCGTCCGGCGCAGACGACACGCGCCTTTCGGGGGCTCGGCCGGACGTCCACCTGGGCGCCGCTCGAGCGGCCCAGGTCTACCGGATCACAGCAGATGGGCTCTTAGGGCTTTCGATGATTGAGTACCCCACCTCAAGGTTGCAGGAGAGAAAGACGGGAAGCGACTGGGGTAGGCAGGAAGAGAAGGGGGAGCAGAGAAATGCTGAGAAAGTGGTTGCGCCGTAGATTTCAAGAACGGGCCACGTGATGGCTGTTGAGCATATGAAACCAACTTCACTTGCTGACCAACTGGTGCGATTGCTGCTGCAGGACCCCGTCTCTGCCTTTGAGGGCATCTCAAGGCGGGCGCTTGAAAACACACTGAATGAATCTTAAAGAAGCTGGAGTCCAGACATGCTTTTTTTGTTTTGCAATGCAAGGGCCGCATGCTTCTTCACCAACTTCATGTTTCAGAAGAGAGCCTTCCTTGAAAAAGCTCAATCAGAAGACATCATCGACCATATCAGGCACTAGTGTTCTGGGTGACGTCGGAAGACCTCAGACGCTCACACCCTTTCTTTGAGTTGTCACATGCGTCTCCACGCCCGAGATGTCAGACATGTTTTTTCAAAGCAACGGTGCGGACTGTGGCCAGTCGGAAGTGGTTCAAGGGCAAGGTCCGCTACCAGGGCGACCGCGAACTCTTTGTGGACGTGACAGCGCCAGGAGGAGCAAAAACAGAAGGCATGATGTATATAGATCCAATGAGCTCCCAGCACTTGGTTGTAGTGGGTTGAAAGGAATTGTGACCCTTCATCAACTTTAACGCAAATAACATGTTTCACACCCCGAAAAGGAGTCTTGGTAAGGGATGATCATATGCCACATACGGAATCATGGGTGTTTCATCCATATACTTGTTCTATCAATAGCTGAAGGACCACTGAGCACTAGCTGAGATTTCATTGTTTGAGAGCTCCGCATTCTTTCAAACTCAGGGATTTTGTGTAACTCCAGCCTTGTCGTACTCATGGGGATCTCAGCGGCTTGCTGGATCAAACTGGACTGAGTGAAGCAGTCAGGGCCTAGTTGACATGCAGTCGCCTAACCCGACACTTGGCGACGGGGGGGAACTCCGTTGACGCCACTTGCAGGAGCTGTAGTCCAGGGCAAGCTTGCCAAAGCTGCCTTGCCTCTCAAGAAGGCCCTCACAAACCTGGTGGAAGGAATCCACACAGATGCAGATGATGCAGGAGTTTCCGGTTTCCTGCAACAAGAGCGGCGTGCAAATTTTTGAGTGACAGAACCCGTACTGTATGATCTGAATGTAGAGGAAGCAGCTGAGCAAGAATTTGCCGACCTTTGCTTTGCAAGGTGTCCGATGGGCAAGAGCTTGATGTTCGAGTTGCTTGGCTCATATGGGATCAAACAACAGTATGCCGTATGCTAACAACAGTGTGAGAATATCGATATAGAGACTGGTAGAGGCATTTGCGGACACGCAGCTAGCTGATGTTGTACCCGATGAGTCCGCAAGCTGCTGCACCCCTTGGACTCCCGGCCGAATCTCTTCCGACCGTTTTAACCGACCGGTGCCCAACACGAATAAATTCCGATTCAGAAACTACGATTCAGAAACCAAGATTCAGAAACTACGATTCAGAAACTGCGATTCAGCAACTACGATTCAGAAACTATACCACCGAAACTACGATTTGAACAAGCACATTAAACACACAGGTTCACAGAAGGGAAGCGTGAAAGCAAATTCAACACGAACACGGCAAACGCCTCATCCTGTGGATGGGGTGGGGGCTGGGTGGGGGGGGGGTTGGGGTGGTACGAGGGAATAAAAATGCAACGGCGTGCGGGGGTGACAATGACGTGCGGTTTCTGGTTGCGAGCAAATGGAGGAAGCGCATCAATCACGCAGAATCAGAAATTACGCCGCTGCTGCGCAAAAAGATCCTTGCACGCTGATGTCAGACATTGACATTCGGAGAGGAATGGCCCGACTATCGAAAATCGCTTTCGTGGGCCACAAGCATTTCGATATAAATCTGACGTGTTTTTGTGGTGTGTTTTCCATTGTGCCGAATCAGACTGTAGTTTCCGAATCCGGTCGTGGTTTCCGAATCATGGTTTCCGAATCCGTCCTTGACCGCCGTACGGTCATCCCCGGTCGTCCTCCCTCCGTCGACTCCAGCGACAGCCGAGGTCGTGGAAGTGATTGGCAACACGGGCACTCTGAGGCTCTCCGCCCGGGCGTAGCGAGGCGAGCTACGGCTCGGTGGAAGCACGGCAAATGAACTGAAACGAACGAAAAAGAGGCCGACACGGGGCAGTGGGACCGTGAAAAGATCGCTGGGAATACTAGAGATGGCAACTTGGTGAATTTCTTCGATGGAGCAACGGAGGCTGCTGTACTTTTCCAAGAGGCAGGAGTTATTTTCAACCACTGGCCAGCATTGTGTTCATTAGCCTGAAAGCATCTCCTATGTTGCTGATCAAGTTCAACTCAGGAGTCAGTGATTCCAGCTTTTTGATGTGGGAGTGGGAGTATGGTCACAGACTCTGAACGATTCTTTTCCATCGGAGAATGTCCTTGGCCAAGGTCCACGCCGTATGTGCCTTTGCCGGTGGTCCGTTATCGTGCTCTAGAGCCAATCCAGGTGGGGAGTCGGTGGAAATGCGATGGGAAAATGCTCTGATCGGGAATTGAGCAGGACGACTGACTGGACACCAGTCATGCCCTGGCTCAAAAACGGAGAGAGAGAGAGAGAGAGAGAGAAAGAAAGAGAAAGAAGGAAGGGAAGAAAGAAAGGAAGGAAGGAAGGAAGAAAAGACAGAAAGAAAGAAAGAAAGACAGAAAGAAGAAAATAAAGCGACACAGAAAGGCAGAGAAAACAAGAAAAACTACAGGGACTCCCAGCTAGGTCCCAAGCATCCAGGGACCATATAGAAAGCTAAGGTCGGGACTGGTTTCACATGAACCCTCGAGTATGTTGAGGCCGCTATGGCCATTGGTGCTACGGTATGTCCGGGGACTGGCTGTCCATGCTTGCTACGAGCTGTTGGCCATACGGATTGCTCCGTTGGTTTAGTATGACAACTTAGCTGGCTGTAGCGTTTGCCCAAAGGCTCCTACCGTGGCTGGTCCGGCCCTGAAGAATCCGGACCTGAGCACTCCGACCGGTGCCTCTTTCAGAGGCCATCGAGAATGTGGAGGAGGCCAAATCAGCTTTGGCACCATTGGCCACCGCGGCATGTTTGACCACCATGATCAAAGATATTTGAGGGAAACGCATTTTGGATATATACAAGTTAAAGGGCCAACCAGGAGCCTCTTGTACTTACCTTCATGTCTCCGTCTCTGGTATAGAGGAGTTATTCCGGGAGGCATCCAGTGGCGGTGTTTGTTCGACAGTGTGCTGAAATGTTGGGGTATGCGCGCTCCAGTCGTTTGATTCCAGACACAGGCAGGTGTTTCAGGCTTTAGACCGCTCAGAAGACCTACATGCGAATTCAGAGTGCTTCTTGTGCTTCTTGCACAACCACCCAAGGACCTTTTCTTCAGCTGGGCATTTTCCCACAAACACTTGGGTCCCACACCCTGTGATGGCCTCATTGCCACTCTGCAGCCGGCCCAAGCGGTGCGGATCGTCTCTGAACGAACGAAGCCACGTCCAGATGGTGCCCTTGGCCGCGGTTTACGGAGTGAAACGGCAAAACGGACCGTTCTTGATTCGATCCATTGATGGATTCGCACAGAAAAGGGCGAACCTGTTCTGGAGCGCCACTCGAGGAGACCAGTTACGGTACCCCCCCACACCCATTGGAAAAGAGAAACACACGAACCAACACCTGTTAGTCCGTGGCCACACCCCAAGTGAAGAGGGAAATTGCAAAAGTGAACAGTCCAAGGATCTTCCTTCAGCGAAATTTCTCTCCAAACAAAGCAAGCTGCCTGATCTCAGAGTAGATCGTCGGTACTTCAGCATTGAAGGGGTAACGATGCCCAGATTTTGCAATTCCAAAAAACCATCCTGGATACTATGATGTACCTGGTTCTTCAAAGTGACCTTTTGATAACCTGGTTGGTTCGGTCACTTAAGCCTCCGAGTAGGGTCACTTAGGAACCTTCAAAAGGTCACGTACTGAAGAAGCTGGTACATCATAGTATGTAGTTTCTGGATTCGCTTTGTTGTTTTGGAGTACTAAAGAATCACACACGTGATGAATAACACCGACACGACACCGAGGTTCGTGCGTTGGCCTTGGCCCTTGTGCTGTCACTTGGAGCACACTCATGGGTCGTAGAAGGGTCACCAGGGAATGTCCGGCATTTCCTGGATGAGAAGAGGGCATTTTCATTTTCCTGGAAGAAGTAGCTTCTGATATCAAGCACATCATTCTCCCCGAATTCTTCATTGATCAACGCGGGCGAATGAACCGTGGCGAATGAACCCAATGTGCCGAGGATTAGGAGCACAGATGTTCTTCAAGTTTGCCATCAACCCAAATGCGAAGAAAGCCCAGGATGGGCGCTTGGTGGGGAGCACTTGGTGGAGAGATGTAGGCATGTCAGCACGAACCTCCCCAGTCCCCCAACGAACGTCTCTACCCGAGAACGTCTCCCGCGCACGGTCGCTGGAGGTGGGGCCTTGGCTCAGCAAGGCTCACCAAGCCCAAGGGGGTGGAGTTGGATGACCAGGCACGGGGCTTTAGGAAGATTTAGGAAGTTCATGAACAGGGGCACGGGGTCAATTTGGATGTACAGCGCAGCTGTGACGTAGCTTACAGCTGTCTTTTTTTGTTGGGGGGGGACTCAATGATGAAAGGTGCGTTCGGGCAGTTTTGATTCGTTCGGCTCAACACCTCTCAGATCCTAAAGCCGCCACGTCATGGGCAGGAACTGACTGCCCTGGCCCAGCTCAGTGAGAAGGCTGGAGATGCTCCGCAGGTAGGGTTCCTGGACCTGGAAGGAGAGTGTGGGAGTAGCATGGAGTTTGGACCTCTCTCAAGTCAAAGGCCATCGTCAGCTGTGTTGGAACACCTCCCCAACATCTATCCAACGGGAGTACCACCCATTGGAGCTATGGTCCGAAAGAATGACCGTTTCCTGCGCGATTCGATTGAGCCATGCGCGATTCGAAGGCAGAAAGAGTGAAGGATGAGGAAACATCCCAGGAGGATGCCTCAGATGAGGACAACATCGATAAGCTGAAAGAAGAACCTCTCAACCGCAGCAAGTCCGAAGAGGAGAAGGAGCTGAAGGAGACACATCTTTTTTTTCTTTTCGTGCAAATCTGGGTTAACCTTGGTAACTCTTTCACGGATCATTCGTGTACCGTTCGATAGCCTTATAACTTCATCTCAAGCAGAACCGCCTTTGAAGTAAACACACACACACATATATATATATATATATGATACATATATATATATATAATACAGCAATGACCTTCTTCGAGCCACCAGGCTGCGACCAGGCACTCAGATCGGGCCGATGAGAAGAGGCCTTTTTCAAGCCAACCCCACTTTCCAGAGCAGCGCTCCTGGAAGCCGTTGCACGCCAGACGTACCGGTGCAGACCCATTGGTTTGTCTCAAGCTACCTGACACACCAAGCTACGGCCCCTTGTTCCCAGTTGTAAAGAAGCAACGAACGTAACAAAGGGCATCGCTACTAGGAGCGTTCGGACGCTACGAACGTGGCTCCTGGCCTTACTACTAGTAACAAGAAGCTACTATCGACATCCATGGCCCACCCCCTTGTTCCCAGTTGTAAAGTGGATGGAACCGTTGGTGAGTTTGGGGACGCCATCGATGAAGAGGGGCATTTTTGGTGCAGCAAGTGACAGACTGTCTCAGTGATACCTGGCCCTACTTCAAGCCAGTAGGCCCTCAAGCGTTTTGCGTAGAACATCGGATAAGCTTCCTAGCTACTAGCAAGACTAGGGCCGCAACAGGGAGGCCACTTAGTAGCGCATGTGTCAATGCTTCATCAACCAGGCCTTCTTGTTCGGGGACCATTTCAGGATTCATAACAGTTTAGGAACTCCCCTGCCAAGGGCCAAGATTCCCCCTGTCCACATTGAACAGGAATGTATTGTACGTATGTACAGATGCTGTACACGGTTTATGTCTATATATATATATATAATTGGTATAATAGTATAGTTATTATACACATATACACATACACCCACACACGTAATATGAAGCAAGTATGCATTGCATTTCAAGTGCTACTCTGCTACTCATCCCCAACATAGCGTCTCACGGGCCCCCAAATAATGTTAATCCCTACTTCGCGGGTGCGGTAAGGGGAGGGGCCATCATAATAGACTTTTGGGATGAACTGTCAAGGCACTACGTATACATATTGTTCCCTACCTCCTGAATGGATTCAACTGCTTAAATGGTAAACTGCAAGGGTTTCATAGGCTTACCATGGACCAAGTGAGCTTTCGCTGGTGAGGAGCAGGAGAACGAACAGGGCAAGGTGCGAGTCGCGAGCTCTTGCTCGACTTGGCAAGCGCAGGATGTGGTGAATGTATGTGAATGTGTTCCTTTTCATGTCATGATCGAAAGCTATATGTGTTTTCTTGTTGGAAAGCTATGAGCTATAGCAGCTATGTGTCCATGAACAGTGTGAAAAATATATGCCCTCTGCTACGACACTGAAGTATTCTAACTAAGTATTGTGTAAGCTTCAGAGACTCATGATGTTTGGGATCATTAAGATAGTTGGAGATGCAACATGAACTGTAATTTGCCATGATTTATGCATATCACAAAGGGACATTCACATTGCAACTAGCTTCATGTTTGGCCAGATGGTTCCAGGTGTTTGGTGCCCCTCAAAAAGACTCCAGAACGCGACCATTCTGAAGAGCTACTCCAACACTAACACAGACAGAGCAATTTTTCTCACCTGATTCCGCTCGAATTGCACTGAGGTTGGTGCCCCAGCACCTTCAGTAGGGGCTGACCAAAACTCTCCACGATGTGGGGATTCCGAAACACAGACCACCCAGCTCGCCAGAAAAAGAACAGCTAACACCCCTTGGCTCGATCCGGATCCAACCGTGCAGTGGCGTGAAGATCGTGGCGCGACGCGAGGTGAAGATCGTACGAGACGAAGCAACGCCCAAGCAGATCACTCGCGTGGACTGATGAGAAGGGGGTGGTCCCGGACACAAACATGGGGCTCGGGTTAGGATGTTTTAGTGCATGGAACATGTGGAAAGCATCTAACGTTCACTGAACATTTTGGCTCAAGTCTTGGGTGGCACGACAGTTCCACTTGGACAGTCATTTTGTTGGGCAGCGGTAGCTCCGGTTTCTTTGGCTCTGTTTTGTGTCTTTTGAGTGCCAAACTTCAGTTCCTGAACCCTTTTGGGGAGGGCTCCTGGGGCCTAGCCTCTCCACAGGCCTATCGTAGGCCCTAGGCTACACTATCCATAGGCCTACTGTAGGCCTATCCCTACCAATCATAGGCGTATGGCAGGATGGGATAGGCCTACTCTAGGCCTACCTAGTAGGGGTACCGGCGGGTAGGGCAGCCCCCTAGTCGACCCAACCTTCGGTCAACTATGCCGTCTATACCGGGGGAGGACCAAGCCATTTGGGGCGCGGAGCTCCGTTTCTTCTCGGGACTCTCTCGCCCTTTTCTACGGGTGGCCGGTGGAAAGGAGGCGACCATGGGAGCCCGGGTGAGCACACTAAGCTCGCTAAATTCTTGAGCGAGGATCCAAGACACCAAGCAAAACGCAAAAAGTCAAAAAGTGAGAAAAACAAAAACGTCAAAAAGGTAAAGGAACCGAAAGCACGCAGCGAGACTTTTCGACTTTTCGAGACTTTTTGACTTTCTCACTTTTCGAGACTTTTTGTCTTTTCGAGACTTTTTCGAGATTTTTGGACACCAGTCACATGCAAAGGACCCGGCAAGCCCCGGGACCTTTTGGTGGGTGACTCTTTTTGTCATCGTTCCCTTTTCGTGCACTTTTCGACTTTTCGACTTTTCGCAACTTTTCGCGATTTTTCGACTTTTCTCGCGACTTTTCGACTTTTCGCGACTTTTCGGCTTTTCACACATTTAGCAACCACAGTTTGAACACAGGCCCTCAGAGAAGAAACTCTACCACCTTTAAAGAAAAGAGCGTGTCGTGCTGCTGCCTTTTCTTTCCTGCCATTTTTTGGACTTGATGTTTCAGTAAACTTAAAGCCGGTCTTCCACAGTGATATGAAAACCAAGTGAGAATACGGGGCAGGCCTGCTAAGCAGGTGAGTTTTCCACCAGAGCCATTTGCCGCTCAAGGTGCGCTAATACTACAGACAAGAAGGGAAAAACCTGCTTCCGGATCCAGCCGAGAGGACGTGAAGGTGCACCACGCGAACCAGCCGCTGCCCGAGGATGAGAAGGTGGATGCCTGGGCACTCAGAATACGAGAGATCCCGCGCGAAGGTGGGAGGTAGCAGACAGCTCTTGCCACACCACCTGTAATGTTCCAATTATACAGCTACTGTTGCAGAGAGTGATCTACGAGCCATGTCCAAGTGTCATGGCCAACTTGGCTCTCAGTGGAAAAAGTGCGGAACCAATGACCTCACTCGGAAAGTTCGTGTTGAGGAGGAACCGTTTAGATTTCCAAGCTGCCGTACTCGTATCCGGCCAACCATGCATTATTTTTTCTAGGTCCAAAAAGTGGACAGAAACCATGTCGAAGTGGAGCGCGCGGCTTTCTGCGCGCCCAAGCTGCTAAGGTCACCGTGATTGTCAATGACACGAAGGTGTTTTGAGCTGATGCTGTTCAGATGGGTCTGCGGTCTGCAGAGGGTTTTACCACCGCTGTTTGAGGCACCTTCCATTACACATTAGACCCTTCTCTACCTGGTTTTGGCAAGAGCAACAGATGTGACCAAAACATAGATGCAACTTCTTCTGTACGACTTGGGCGAACGGTACATTTTTGTGGAGCTGTATCTGTAAGTTTTTGCTGTCAAGATGTGTATTGTGCCAGTCTAAACGATGAGTTTTCCCATGATTCGCAGATCATTTCAGATGAATCTGTGTGAAACTGTTGTGAAATTTGATGACGATGTGTCTGGCTGGGGCGGCTGGCGATTGGCGGATTGCTTCTGGCCCCCTCTATGGCAGATAGAACGCTGTTCATTGGCTGTACCAAAGAAATTTCTTCCTTTGCTTTGGGCATTGGAGAAGATGTGCAGGCACACAGACAAACAGAATCGATGCCAGCTTTTCGAGTGGAATAGCCACAGTGTGGAAGCGCCTTGGCAGGCCGCCCAGACGACTGTGCCTCCAAAACCAGCGGCAGACTTAGGTGGTTCCAAGCGGACGGCTCTCACGGATTTATGATTTATCATTTATCCGTTTTTCTTTCAGAGTTTTTTGGCCTCCCGCCTTTTTCAGGCTCAATGCACGGCCACAGAATCTTTGGGTTTAAATGACCAGGTTTTGTGGGGCTGTTTTCAACGGGAGTTTCAGATTACTCAAGAGCATTCGCTTGAACTTTGAGAGAAGAACTTCCTACCATTCGAACCAATCGAACCAAAGCAAGGTAAGGATTCGGAGTCATTGACCAAGCTGGAACTGGATATGATGCTACGCGCGTAGCACGTGTCTCCTAAAGCATGTGCATGGGGTGCATTCCTGGCCCATCAGACTGGTGAGTTGCAGCCTAAACGATCCCTGGTTCTGGAGGTTCTCAAGCACTGCGGCTGTGAATGATCCTCAAGTATCTCAGTACCATTTGCGTCCGTAGGGAGGCTTTGTTAGTGGGGTTTCCGAGTCCTGAAGAGATATCCGAACCTGATCATGTTGCTGCTCGTGTGCTGAGGCTGTATCCATTGACATCAACACCAAGGCCAAGAACCAACATATTCCAAAATGAGCTGAGTGGGACGAAAAGTTGATTCATCAGCTGATAAGTAGCAACAAATACTCAACTGATAAGTAGCAGCACTCATTTGAGCTCGTAAGCAACTGATCAGCAAATGAAGGTTCATCGGTTCATCAAAGAGTTTACTGCTTGCGCGCTCGAGCCACAAGCAACCGTTTAAGGGGGGCACTTCACTGCTGATGCCCATGGATATGTCACCTGCGAACTCTCCTTATGTTTAATAATGATCAATAATATAATTGGATTATCATCAAGGGTGACCCGAGCATTGCATCTAGTAGTGGTTGCGACCTCGTCTGCCAGGAGGTGGTGGTGAGCGACGTAACGGCCACTTGGCAGTTCAACTGGCCACCTAAGTAGCATCAGAGTATCACAACTAGAAACTCTGAGCTTTGTGGATCAGAATGGGTCTCAGCAGCTTGTTCGCTAGGTGCCCTCCTGCAGTGAGTTTTGCTTTGCTCATGCAGTGTAGAGAGCCCCATGAGTATCCTGGAAGAGTCCCCAAGATGCTTTGAGCCAATGGTCAAAAGTACAGACCTCCTGAGGGTCGCTTTGGGATGATGACCCGAGGGGGCACGCATGCGGCTGGACCAATCGCATAGTAGAACAGCTTGAGCGAACGGCTTGTACCTTCTTTCTTTATGCAAGCAGCTGCCAAGCAGACCAGCTGCAAGCAGCTGCTTGTGCCACCATGGTGCCTGTTGTGTCCAAACCATGGCCTCCGGTGGTTTCCGAAACGCGGCCATTTGAGGAGACAACGACCACGAAGGCGAGGGATGGGAGACGGATGTGACACGGTGCTGTATAAAGACGTATGGGTGATTTGGTCTCGAGGGATTCCGCAAGGAAAGACGACCCTGGGAGGATCCTAGAGAACACCAGATCACATTTGTCGCAGATTTTGATGACAGGGAAGGATCCGGTTGCTCCATGCTTTGGGCAGGTGCTTCCGCAGAACTTTTGTATAGAAGACTATAGAAGTATTCTATAGTATTCTAATGACAGTTTGAAAAGATTCAGAAAGGTCAATTGCTAATTTTCCGGACGGCCGAACCCCAACATACCGGAACGTTTTCGGCATTGGGAATATTGACCAGGATTTGAACACTGCATTTCCATGCAACATCAGTTATGGAGCTTCTATACAATCATCCAACATGAAAGTGATATAGGATGATCCACTTTCGCTTCCTGGACCGAGCGATTCTGTACTGTTGCAGAACAGCATTCAATCAAGGAATGCGTTGAGCAATGGGTCCACCAGTCCAGCTATACTTGCATAGTTTGTATAGTTGTACTGTATGTAGTTGTGTGACCATATGGCTGGTGTGATCATGATCTCCGAATGGACCAGCATCTATGAACAGTATTCCCAGACAGGAGTCCAACCGCAGTATGCACAGAAGGCCTTTTTCGCCAAGAGAGAAGCTCAGCTGGAAGAGTACCTTGGCCAAGCTGCACTCGCAGTCGCTCGTGGCTGTCGAGACTGGTGTGCTACTGACGATGAAGAGATCAGGTGGTCACAAAGGTGCTACTGGCAACCACAAAACCACTTGCGTTTGCAAAAGAGCGCTATTTTGGGGTCTTTGAGGCTCCTGAGGTTTGGAATGATTTGTTGCAAGGTGGCCTCCTGCCCAATCATCTGACGTGGGTTGACGCCAGGAGGACTTGATCGGGAGAGGGCACTCGTCAATTGCCTTTTCATCAGATGGCACTTGACCCCGGCAAAATGCGCGGAAAGGGTCATGAGGTGGGCAAAACAACATAATGCATGTATATATTGTATAGTATTTTTAATATGTATATATATATATACATACACTGTATATAATGCGTATACACGAACACTTGAAGATGTCGTATTTGTGCAGAAGTCTCAAGACGACGATTTGAGGCTTCAGAGCTTTGTCGAACTCCATGGGACGTCGGTCGTCGGTACGAAGGCTTTGACTTCCATCGGTCTGGGGGGGTGCTTCTGGGGCTTCCAAGCGCCCTTGTAATGATTTTGGTTCGGTGGTTCCATCCCTGGATCCAAGGCCCTGGGTATGTTGGCGCTGAGCTTCGCGGTCCTCACCGTCTTTTAAACCAGCCTCCAGGGCCCTCAAAGCCCGACTGCGGGGGCCACGGGCCCCAGGGCCACCCGGGAGAAAAGGACGCTGCGCGGAGTTCCATGCGCGCGGCGCAGCAGTTGGGCGTTCTTCGGGGGTTGGGAACGAGCATCAGCTGTCAGCCATTTCTGGTCTGTTGAAGAGTTTTAACTCCGATGTCTCAGTGGTATCTTTCAGGACGATTTGATTTGTGCTGAGGTGTGCTGATGGGTAAAGCTCCAAGTACTCCACCCAAAGCAAGTGGCTTGTACCTGCTGAGGATCACGGCTCATCTTATACCTGCCATAGTGCCAGAATGTGCCAGACAAGTGACTGGCGCAACAGCGGGACAGTGGGGAAAGAAAGTTCTGGCGCAAGGACCCCTTTTGATCCATGCGTCGGTCACTTTGATCCATGCGTCGGTCCCTTTGATCCATGTGTTGGTCCCTTTGATCCATGTGTTGGTCCTCTTTTTGCAAGGTCAAGTTACTCCAAGTATTATTAGTCCAAGTATCTGATCGTTGACAGGGTCTGCCCTTGCGCTTCCATGAACCAGGGCAGCTGCTCCACAGTCCACATATGTCCACATATGTCCACATGGCTTTGGGATGCTTTGGACGACCGCCAGGTGGCCCTTCTAAAGAAGGTCATCAATGCTTCGCCACTGCTGCGAGAGCAGCATGACCAGGCGCCAGCACCGGACCTCCTGCTCCTGCTGGAGCCGCCCCACCGGTGTCTCTCAAGCTCGCGAGCGCTTGATGGGGTGCATTGGCTCGTGACTCGTGCGCTGAATCCACCAGCCACCCGAAATGGAAGAACCCTTGTCACCGTGAACCCACATCGCTTGAATCCAACCTTGGCTTGGAAGGACCGGCAGGGGTAGGTAACTACTGTTCCGTTATTGGAAGCGGTAAAAAGAGAAGATCGTCACCTCTCGAGGTGGAAGGAAGATGGTTTTGTGTGGGGCGTTCACGGCGAGAACCGGAGCCGCACGATGAACTCCTGCTCTTTCACCAAAGACATTCCTGCTTTGCTGACTCCTTTGGTCTGACGGACCTTGACAGACTAGTGAACACTCTGAAGGTCTCTTCAGCACCCTCCCAGCATTTCCCAGCCATTCAGCCGCCCCCTGCTTCACCTGCTTTGAAGACTACATGGGAACATCAAGCATGAGAACAGGTGCTCGGCCGCACCAGTTCCACGACGCGGCACATGTTCCATGGAACACATGACCCGTGCAGGTCATTCAGTACTTCGACATGAATGACCCCGTCGCCCTGGCGGAACTTGGGGAGAAGAACGACCGAAAAGGAAGGAAGGTCTTTCACACTCCCAATCACCCCCGATGTGGTTATTCCGCTCCTGTTCGAGCGGACGGGCGGCCCGAACGGGGCGGGGGGGGCCCGTTTTCCACGTCCACGTCGGAGCGGTCACGTTCTCAGAAAGGACGGTCACGACCGAGCGCAGCGGAGCGTTTCTTCTTCCCAAGAGGGAGAAACCATGAGAAACCTCCTGGGTTTGGTCGGCTGGGACCCCCGGATGATCAACGACACCTGCCTTCAAACATTTGTTTCAAGGTCTTTCTCAATCCGGGTGAGACTTGGAAACTCAGTCTCATGTCTCAACAGCGGACTTGAGTTCCTTCAAAATTGGAGTCACTAAAGTGTCTGTGGTGAGAATCAACGGATTGGGGAACCCCCAACACGGCCACTGCTTGTGAGGTAAGACTAAGACTGACAATGAAATCAACCATTCAAACTCATATTTTTGTATATATGTTTGATTATTTTTGTATGATTTGTTGTTGATGGTTTCGATCACTTCAATTTTTCTCAGAATTCCAAAGGCACGATTTGTGCGGTGGCGCTATATAAATCAATCACATGTTCGTGACGCGGCCCCTCTTCTCGGAAGTTTCTCCACACAGACTCCCGGCCAGGTCAAGGTGGCAGACCTGGCAGTTGGGAGCCGCAGCGCAACAGGTGGCGATGGGCATTTTTGAGAAAGGGGCGCTAATCAGCGGTGACTGACTGGATTCGCAGGCACAGAAATTGTTATTCCCAGACACTCCATGTATTCCATATATGCCTACATTGACCCCTAGTCAGCCACCCCAACTGATCGGCATATATGGCAGTCCCATAGAGTGTCTGGGATTTTTTTTTTGGTTGTTGATTCTTTTTGTTGTTGTTGTTGTCGTTGTCGTTGTGGTTGTTGTCCTTGTTGTCCTTGTTGTTGTCCTTGTTGTTGTCCTTGTTGTTGTTGTTGTGGTTGTTGTTGTCCTTGTTGTTGTCCTTGTTGTTGTTGTTGTTGTTGTTGTTGTTGTTGTTGTTGTTGTTGTTGTTGTTTTGTTGTTGTTTTGTTGTTGTTTGGTTGTTGTTTGGTTGTTGTTTGGTTGTTGTTTGGTTGTTGTTTGGTTGTTGTTGTCCTTGTTGTTGTTGTTTGTTGTTTGTTTGTTTGTTTTTGTTTGTTTGTTTTTGTTTGTTTTTGTTTGTTTGTTTGTTGTTGTTTGTTTGTTGTTGTTTGTTGTTGTTTGTTGTTGTTTGTTGTTGTTTG